CTGGTGGATCCAGAAAAGTAACATGATCTCTAGACTCCACTGGAGTAGGTGATGCCAGTCATTATGATTTTCAGTCATTTAAAATACTCCTGCATAATCATAATGTTTTCAAGCAATCTGGGGCAGGAATTTTCTCTACTCGATGCTCTGTGGGCTTAAAGTAGTGACATTTCAGTGGTGAAAAGCAGTTCAGGCATTTTTATTTACATTATATTTATGTGGATACAAAACGAATCATGAAAAAGAATCAGAGAACTTATTTTCTTTCTTCACAGAAGAATGGATATCTGTAATTTGCCTTAAAGCCTCATTGGAGAGCTTCAGCAGAGAGATGCTCTTTCAGAAAGAAGCTAACAGCTTATACCAAATGTGCCGGCACAAAAGTGGTGCTGGCAGTGGTGGGGGCTGTTCTCCCAAAGAGCACTGTGCCAAAGCTTCTCTGCACTAGGTTTGGTGAAACACATTTTCTCAGATGCTCACTTAGTATGATCCTCCTACTTCTGTAGAAGTATATGAAAAATGGTTTTAGTTTCCTGCCCAGCCTTGGCTCAGAACAGGTTGAGACAACCTGGACTTCCGAGCACAGAGAGCAAGGACCGAAAGCTGTCTTTTCAGCACAGGGTTCTAGTTGAAAGAAAGTACGTGGTGTGCACTTTACATTAAGTGCTTCTTTTGATCTGGAGAGAGACATTTTGACACAGCCTGCTTTTGGGAACTCATTGCAAATTCAACGTATTTAATGGTGTCAGAAAATGATCTATTCAAACCTCTAGTCAAGCTTCTGTCATTCTACTTTGACCTGTTTCATTCAGATTAAATTTTTGAACACATAATTCCAGGAGAGCAGAAAAGTATAATAAATGCTTCTCAGTATATGGCATCTTGTTCAGCATCATTATGCTGTATACTGTTTTTTTGGTTTTTTTTCATGATGAATTTTATGTGTCTTATTTCTTTGTGGTATGACTTAAATTAAAATAAAAGACAATATTAGAAAGAAAAACCATATTAACTCTTTTGACAGCATCTAAGATCTCTGATTTACCCAAATATTTTATCAGAGCATTGAAAAGGGTCCATTTTTGGTTCTTCACAATGCTGAAGTCCTAACCTGTTCTAATTATAGAACTTGGCATGTGCCAGCCAACACATACTATTAATATTTATTTAGGTACTTATCTGTGTTTATTTTCCTTTACTTCACCTATTTCTTTACTTTTAAAGATCTGCCCATTGCCTAGCCCTAGCAGCCATGGATCTGATTCTCTTAAAATACTTTCTTGCCTCTGACATTTTTCGTGACCTTGTCTAGTTACTTATCCAGTAAATTCTTTGTTTAAAAATCTTAAAAACTGCTGTAGCAACTTACCACAGTGAGTTAACACGTTGTTTGTAAGGAGTATTAGACTTCCATACTTAATAGACACTGTTTAAGTGCTATCACTGTCTGTGCAGAACAGCCCTTTGAGGGAGTTTTTTCAGACTTTGGAAGTATCATGTATGTAAATAATACCTATGAAATAACCCTAACATGTTAAAAAGATAACTTAGCATTTAAAACTGTAAAATTTTTATTTATTCTGTGTTATTCCTTTTGTCTTTGTTCATTTTCCCAAATTTTTGTCCACTGAAGTTGCATAACTGACATACCTTGAAATGTCTGTTGGAAGAAAGACTTGAAACACTAAAAAATCTGGAGGAGTTCTTTTTAAATTGTATACTCCGATAAGAAATTTGGATACATAAATCAGATTTGTATTCAGCAGGTTTGTAGTATGTATTACTACTTGTTTATTACAGTTTGGTTTATGAAATTTCATTTCCTTCTTAGACAATTCATGTCTCTAAGTACCTGTAAGAAGTCTTCCAGAGACCTTGAGGTACATACTTTTTCCTCACATTCTTCCTAATTTATAAGAAGCTTCAGAAAGAAATCATATAGGAACAGATTCATGTAAACTTTTATGATTGTTGAGGGTTTGACTCCAGTATATATTTCACTTGCTGGTTTACATTTACAGGCTTTTTCTAAAGTTCTAGCATGGATACTCCTTCTCAGAACTGACACCTCTTCTGTAATTTCTCATGCTATTTTAAGCATAACAAAAACAAGGGTCCACAGGCATGTATGAAATTTGTCTTGTTTTAAACATTATCCTTCATAGAAAACTTGCCTTTCAAGTATTGGATAATGTGATTGCTGTCAGATTTGGAAGAGTGTTTGCTGGGATTTATTCTTTGTATTATGAGTACTATATTCAACAATTTAATTAAGCTTAAGTAATTTCTTTAGTTAAGAGTGTTCCCTGAATAGGGAAAAATGAGTTATAGTTGTTACAGGAAAATGTATTTGAATAAACCAAACACGTTACAAACACACTAAATGTATTAATTCCTCAAAGTTAGCACTCAGAAAATCAGATTTTAATAAGTTAGGAAATAGAGGAATAGTGAAATTGATATAATGTAATTTTGGGGAATGGTTGTGAAAAGTCATCTTACTAATATGCATATTCATTGCTAACTACATATGCAGTATATCAAATGCATCACTCACAGTAACCTCAAGATGCTATAGCCTCTTGGTTGCTCTAACTTCATTAAGATAGCAGAATTGAATCCTATTTTCTTAACCTTAATGCTAATACGTCCTTCTCTTCATGTAAATGAAGTATATATTTTGATCTCCTATCTGAACTACAACTTCGCAACATCTCATCTCTGAAAACATGCAAAGTTCCTTTTATCATCTCAGACAAGTTCTCAGTTGACTTACAGCCTTGCACCCTACACCCTTTGTTTTTTATGATTCTTATCTTATTTCTTGGCTAATAGAAGTAATTCACCTATTTATTCCTTGTAAAAGATCCTGAATAAGCAATAGTTTGTCATTGCCTCCATTTTCATCAAGTCTTCTAGAGAAAAGCAACCAAATGATTCCTTCACAAACAATACTTTATCACAGATCTCAATTTGTAGTGATACACACATGCTGTATGAAAATTAAGATAAAAAAAGAAAGGTTTCTGAAGAAAGAATGCTGACACTTTATCTTTCCATTCGTCAATATATGCTCATTTCATCACAAAATACATTTAAATATATTTATATTGTTACACTACCATTATATTGATTCTAAGTGATGAAACTCGTTTATATTTTCAAAGGGATTTATGTCATTAGAGTCACTCATTTCAGTTGGGAAACTGTTCTCACCTACTTTAAAAATGACATTTGGGTGACATTTAAAGTTATTGAGTCAATAGAGCAGACTTCTTTTTTGTTTTCCCGAGAATGGAAGTTCAAAAACACCTGGGGGGGTGGTGGGGGTGGGGGTGTGGACAGGGGAAAGAGGAAAAGGAGGAATAGACTTTGTCCAGTTCGGTTGCAAAAATTCTACTGATAAGGCTTAATTACTAATCCTAACCAGATACAACAGGGTATTACTGTCACACTATCACCAACAAATTTGAATGCCAACACTTTAAAGCACTTTTAGTTTAATCTGCTCAGGTTACCTGACATAACACCCAATGCACTTTTTAATGGAATTGAGAGAGGAAATATTTGCTAGGTAGGAGGTAAGTGGCACAACACTTCCATAGGCACAGTCCTAAAAGGTCAGGTTTTAGCATATATGACCTTCTGTGGAATTATATCCTAGCTAGCTGCCTTCTGGATGCCCAGGTCCACGCTTCCAAAAGCGTCTGCTTAACACTTAAGTCTTCACTTGTTCAATTATTTGAACAATGACACTCATCTTTTTTCACACACTCAACCACCCATTGCCTTCTTTCTGTGATTATAGCCCCACTGGGACTCTTGCAGCACACTAGGCTGGGTGAAACCTCACTGAGCAGGGCTCTTCTTCCTGCACTACTGTCCATGAGACCTATGACACTGGAGGTCTACTTCATTCCGTCTCCTGGGAAGGACCAAAAACTGTAACTCCAGCTTCCTCAGGATTGTTTCAACCACTGGATGTACTGGGATTGTAATGCATCTTTTCTTGTAATTGAATCATTTGAATCTGTTCATAAAGTACAAATCTTCAGTCCACTTCCCTCCCATTCTTTGGAGGGGAGGGCCTCACTCCAGTTAAAAAGCTCAAGAGATGCAACACCAGTATCAAACCTGTCTTAATCTTCTTCAACGAGAAAGAACAAAGCAAATGCGTACAGAGCACTAAATTAGGATGTCACTGCACATTGAATGAAAATCATGCCAGTGTCACTTGGAATGCCGGTCTCTTAAAGGACTTGTTAACAAACTGTTCTTCTAACCACAAATTCCAAATCCAGCTACAGCTTAAGAGAGGAGACTTTCTCATTTCGTTTTTTTCTCTATCCCCCTACTTCTTGAGTTTTTTTGGGCCACAATGCTAGTATTTTCTAGGTTGACATTCTCTTATTTTAGTGTTGAAGAAATGCTCTCTCTTCCACTTTACAATACAGTTTCTTCAGCAGACTTATCTTTTTAGCAGCAACTATGTAGTTGTTGCTAAAAAGATAAGTCTGCTGAAGAAGCATTATTGAGATTCAAAAGAATGAGGAACTGCATGCTTACTTTTGTTTTCCACTTCTATTAAATGCTGGGAATGTCAAGCCGTGGATAGGAAAATATGTTATCATTTACACAGCTTGGTTTTCCTGCATTTAAGTGGACATCGTGTTTGACATATCTTCAGACGCTACTTTCAGTTATTTTATATTTTAATGCACATTTAAAATTTATAATATTTATTAAGTTTATTGCCCTAAGAAATGGATCATTGTATCTACAGGTTAAGTTGCTAAGCAAAATAATTTCTCTTGCTGTTGGACTCCAATTATAAAATAGATATGCATACAAAATGTGTTATAGATACGACGACCGAGATTATGGCACAGGTGGGAGGGAGATAGAACTCAGCATATATAAAATCCACTCTGAATTCTCTGAGATTACTAAAACAGAAACAATGAATAAAGTACCCTCAAAGTTAGTACCAAGATACTTACCATCCTCTCAGTCACAACTATCTCAATATCCTCAATGTCATCTCCAGTCCCCACCATCGATCATTTGGACACTGCTCCTCCTACTTGTTTGAAACAATGAAGCAATAGATATATGGCAGTAATTATAGTCTAAAAAGTGAACAACAAGAGAGTTAGATGAAACACACTGGGGAAAACCGAGCTTTGAAAATTATGTGGTTACCAGAACCTTGTTATTTGCTACAGTAATTGTCTGTGTGTCGAAAGACTCTATATCAAAACAAGACTTTAATTTTCCAACAAATTGCCTGTACCCACTCTGTCATATATATGCATTCACACAGACACATTTTATATATAAATATATTTCTCTAGATTAAAACACAGAGGTTTATTTAAGCAGAAAAGAAACTGATAAGTTTTCACTTTAAAACAGTTTATTTCAGTTTTGTACAAATTGACATTTTTAAAAGGCAGAAAAATTAAAAAATTCAACCTTCCTACAATTCCACCATTTTCAAGATGCAAACTAGTAATTAGGGACCAACCCTGGGCAGGAATGAATGACAGACAATGTACACGTTAAAAGGCATTTCAAGAAATCAAAATTATCTTCAGAAACCATGACCTCCTCTCTTTCTGTGTTTTCCTTTCCTCAGAAGTGGATGAGGCCTGGATAGACTGCAGGGTAGCTGAAATCTTTGACAAATTCTGACCTAAGTAAGAAAGGCAAGAACAAAATGAGAACCAAACCTGATTCTAACTCCAAAGGCAAAGTAGGAGCCTTGTTGAATAATGAACCTTTCGGAGAATCACAGGGTTGTTAAGGTTGGAAGGGACCTCTGGGCTATTACCTAGTCACACCCACCTGCCAAGGTAGGGTCACCCAGAGCAAGATACACAGGAACATGTTCAGGTGGGTTTTGATTGTCTCCAGAGAGGGAGACTCCATGACCTCCCTGGGCAGTCTGTTCCAGTGCTCTGCCACTCTCAGTGTAAAGAAGTTTTTCCTCATGTTGAGGTGGAACTTCTTGAATTTTTGTTTATGGCCACTGCTCCTTGTTCTGTCACTGGTCACCACTGAAAATAGTCTGGCACCATCTCTTGACACCTACCTTTGAGATATTTATTTACATTACCTTTCCAAACTTCATCAAAAGAGTAACACATTTTACCGCTAAGGATCGTTGCTGCAAAATGAAGATGCCAGACTGTATGCTAAACAAAAAAAAGGTTTTAATGCCATTAATATCCCATAAATAGTGAGCAGTGGAAATTTATGAATTATTTGGGATTTAGGAACAGCTTTCTCCAACTATAACCTCATAGGTATGTCTAAGCCAATAGTGGAGCTATCTTCTTTCCACACACCAATTTCTGAAAGACAAAAGTCTTTGTACAGAAGATCGAGTTATAATCCTAATTAAAAGAATATTTATTTTTCCTGAGTTTCCCATAAAGAAATTGCAAGAAAGAAGACTGGCTTGTTGAGTTGAGTAACAAGAAATTAATGTAATTCCATGTGAGATAGAAGCAGAACAGAGCTTTAGAAATTAGGTTAACTAAATAACCTCTACCTCAGAAATTTTTAGTAGCTTCTATCCAACAGGGCATGGGACTAGGTGACCATAATCATCCAAAGGTAACCTTGAAACATTGATTTTAATTAGTGACTTAGAAAGATTCTTAATCTCAGATCTAAACCTCTTATTTATTGAAAGCCTTTTAGAGTCCTCACGTTGTACATAAAAACTACCCTCTGTTTTCACTATAGGAAACTTTTCGATATCAAAAAATATTATACTCCCTTTCTGGACTATCCATGTCTTTTGACTTTTCTTCTTGGGTCAAGCATTTTAAAACTTCTGTATTTGGCTTTGTCTCCAAACATCTCTTCTAAGCAAATTACAGAATTTACCACCATGATGTCTAGGAGGCAATGAGTGACCACGAGGAATATAAAAGTACTAAAGAAGGGGGAAACTTGAAGCCCAGAAACCGATGATTAAAGGACTGAAGGAAAGCCCCTGGATCCTGTCCAAAGGAAAAAGTCATTTTTAAACCTATCAACAAAGATATGGACTGATGACCTAACTGTGGAACATCTTGATAAATGACAGTAAAAAAAAAAAAAGCAGAGTGAGGCTACTGCCTATAGGAGTAGCTTAGTCTAGAGAAGGGAATATGAGGCATAATCAACATACAGGACTTCAGCCTGATATTTTAACAGCTAGTTGACTTCGGTAGCTACAGGAAAAAAGTGATACAAAATGTAACCATACAGTGTATAAAATCTGGCTACAAGTTCTAATAACATTGCAAGTTCTATTCTCTCTTGCTGGTGTTAGATAAGAAGAAAATTCTGGATATCTTGAACAGCCATCAGAAAGAAATGTGATCGTGGGATGTCTCATTGAAATACGTTTAGGAGCAACTGGGAAACATTAATGTCAAAGACATTGTAACTCTGCACCTGCTTGGGTTTACATAGCACACCAGCACAGTCCCTGTGGTGGGGGGCAGTTCCCTTAGGTACATCAGTCAAGTAAAGACCTAATCATTTCTACTTCAGTGGTTTAGTTCCCCCATATGTGTTATGCACCAATGCTAAGCAGTCTCCTTACTTCCTGAGCGCATTCCCTTTTTAAAATCCTGGTTTTTCACTCTTATGGGGCAGATTTTTTAATTTGTTTCTCCAGCTGTCAGAAAGACTCTTTTCCCCAACAGCAGGGGATCAATCAGCGATAAACAACATATATTTATTGGGAATATCATCTTCAGTACAAATTCATTATTTAGAAGAATATCCTGTCTGAGGGTGTTGGGAAGGTATACTCAGGTCTAGGATTGTCTTCTTGTCCTGAACAACCAAATTGCAGCCTGTCTTTATCTCTCAGGAGATCTGTGGAAGTTAATTGGAAGGTAGATTCTACTGTCCATTAACCATTCAAATATCCCTTAACCTCCTGATTATAAAGGTAAATAGCATCCTTTGTTTCCTAGGTTACTTGATTTGAAATAATGAAAAACGTATTAGATGTCTGATCTGCACATTCAGTCTTTTTACATAAAATGTAGAGTGGGTTTATGCAATAATGATAAGGTAATTAAAAAATATGGAAATAACTTTATTACAAGCTCAGTTTTTCTGAGTTGTATGGAAAAAAATGCAACAACTAGATGTATTTGGGCCCTCCAGGGTAAACATTCTGCAAAAATAATTGCTCTCTTTCAACTGCAGCTAAAACCAAGACAAGTAGTAATGTCCACAGTAATTATCAGTGGTTTAGTCATCCACAAACACCTCAGGCACTCAGAGCTTAAATTCCTAAGAAATACTTTGAAGCTCCCTTGACTTCCTGCTTCTAGTTAGAGAAGCAGCTGCTCCAACTGCTCAAACATCTTGGTAGATCCACTGATAAGTGAACAGGAGCTACTGCTGCTTCCAATGCTGGAAAAAATGATGGGGACGACTTGATCTTCCCCAAGGATAAACTTGGCAGCTATGTTTAATCACTTTCAGTTGCTTTGGAGCAAATCAGAACAGAATCTCTTCCTACCCCTATCTGAAAACACAGGGTCCTTCCCAGTCATGTCCCTGTCTGCTTTCCAGAAGACATGAGATTTAACCTGTACTGAGCTCAGTTTGAGTTCACTGACCCTTTAAACAAAGCCCAAAGTGACCCCTTAAACAAAGTTCGTGCTCTGGAGTACTGTGTATTCTTGTCTAGAGTTAAAAGTGATTCTTTGTGACAGATTAATAAAACATTTATACTAAATTGATTACACTCATCTCAGTGCCAAACACCTACCTCATACAACAGCAAAGATTATTCACACATAAAGTGCATTTCAGCTTCAGCTGCAGAACACCAGTAGGCTTGATATACAAAACATAGGATGAGAACACCCATTAATCACAGGAAAACAAGCCTTTGGGAAATCATTCATATTTGGCCATATGTCTTTTTTTTTTTTTTTCCTATTAGCTGTGACAAATCCTATACTCAAAAAAAGAACTAGTTAAATATTTTAACTGCTTCTTAACTTATTGCCTTGACAATGACTAAAGCTTAAACAGCTGATAGGATGAACCAAATCTTTACTGACAGGTTTTATATTAAGATCAAAACTTACAACAGAAACTGATGCTTTCAAGGCACTGAATAGGAAAAAATTAAAACTTTTCATTTTTAATTTTCTTGTTTTACGTGCTCACATAAATATATGACATTTACATATAAAGTGACACTCTGAAAGATCAATATAAAGATTTTTTCAGAAAGGCTATTACACAGGAAATATCGGCTTCCCACTCTGTTTTGAATCGCCTCCCAGAATAAAACTTTCTCAAACTCCTCAGCTACCACTGGTTTTAGCTGCAATCACAACAACAAACACAACACTTTTTAAAATACTGGTTAACCATTTATGGACATGATGATTTGAAATATTCAATAAATATTTTTTACACAAATTACATGTAAGTAGACCTGTGCATCTGTATGAAACTTCTTCTTTCAACTAAAGTGTGCTGTTGAAGACAGCAGCACTGACCACCTGTGATAGAACTATCTTCTGGAAACCTTGACACTGACATACTAAACAACATCAGAACCCACTTAAGCAGTAAGCCAACTGACTCCTCTACTAGAATTGAACACCAGAGTCCAGCTTTGCAAGGGCTATGTTTTTAAATTCATGGTACATAACTGGAACTTTTGTTTCTGAGTCTTGAATTACAGATCTCCAATACCTGCTTATCATATATCCAGCACTTGAAGTTAAGTTTGTCATAAGTTCTTGGATCTGGCTTCAAACGTCCACATTTTAGAGCAGAAGACTGGAGTGATAAAAGCAAGTAACAGACCTTCTCTGGGGACCTGCATCTGCCCTGTTCCTGGAAAGCCTTCCTGCTCATATCCTAGCTTTCCCATAGTGCTTCAAGCCTAATCATTGCTATATGCTGAGAGACTGAAAAAAATATGTTTCTGAAGCTGGAATCATCAGTGCTCTTTTAAAGACATTAGATTATTTAAGCAAAAGAAACTGCTAACTTTATTAATTTCTTCCATGTAAGGCTTTTGACAGATATTTGTTTGTGTAGGAGCAGAAGAAGATACAGTATGAAGATACAGATTCACTTCATA